TCAAGTTGCTCTATGGTGAGCATTGAACAACAACAACAACAACAACAACATCAACAACAACAACAACAGCAACAGCAACAACAACAACAACACAACATTGACAAGAATATCCGTGGCTTGGCTTCCAAAAGGCCTCTCTACATGCTTCCACCCACCAATAAACGCAACAAATTGAGGTGGTCCACCCCTCCCTGACCTACAGCTGCTCTGGTGCCTGCATATGGTGTTCCAGATTCACCTCAGCTCCTCCGTCGGCGTTCCCAAGCCCATCCGAGCACAACTGTCAAGCACTGCATTCACCCGCTCTGCGGGCAATGTTTGAGGCATTTATGGTCAGCTGATAGAATAAATAACTATAAGGTGTGATTATTGGGAAGGCATTCATTCAAGGGCCTGCAGGCAGTGAGGGGCAGCCGACAATCAAGACCAAATAGTTATACGCCATTTGCTCCATGGGCCATGACTGAGCAACTACACGAGGGCCGACAAAAGATTGCCATGCGCCTGCCACGAAATCCACACTTCAAGGTCCACAGATTGCTGCGCCTGCCACAAAATCTGCACGATTCACATCGCGCAGCCCTGCCAATGCGATTCGCAGCACGAGCGCTTCCAAAGACAACATCAAGATGTCAACCCCAAATCAGAGCACACCATGTCCTGTGATTAGACGAACCTCGCAATCACTCTCTTCAGTTCATTCGGAATCCTTCCCCTGTAGAAGAGGAAGAACAAAACTGTGTTTAAGTGGAGGGAAGAGGAAACATTGAAAAACAAGAGCCGGGAAACAAGAAGGCCAAAGAAACCAAACACTAAACACACAAACAAACACATGAAATACAAGTGCACAACTTAAGGGCAAAAGCAAAAGGTTCGAAAGAAGAAACATCAGCAATAGCGACAAGTCAACGTCAACCAAATTCAAGAACGAAAAGCAAATCCGCCCGCACCGAAGGTGCTGGGGCGTGTTAATCCGGATGGCATAGTCAATCGCAAGATTTCAGCTTTAGCTGGGGGGGGCATTAATTGTCGGACAAGAAACCTCAGTTTTTGAAGGTTGTTGAAAATCGAGTGCAACAAACTCATAAATACGGCATTTGATGAAGGTTTTGGGTCACGCACTTTTTTGAGGCGTTCTTGAAAAAGTTTAAAACATGTTGGGTGTTTGAAGATGTTGTCAAAAATGGCCAGGTTGAACCGGCATAAACAAACATCAGCGGCTTCATGGTACGGCTCTAGCTGGCTAGGGGTTCGTATTAGCCAGGTAGAGCCGGGACGGTAGGACACCAGTCCAACTATACTACTGCCCTGCTGACACCACAGCAAACAAGGAGAGAAAACAGCAAAATAGTTGCAAAATAGTTGAAAGGCTGTAGCTGGGTTCAGCAGATAGCTCTCCGGTGCATCAAATCTAAAGGCTAAGGAAAAATAGCAGCAAATGGGTTCAATCATTACACACAAATAGTCATGGACAAGGAAGCAGGGAAGTAAGAAGAAAACGCAACCTAAGAGCGAAGAACGAGGGAAATATGGAGCCCAAAAAACACAGTTATATAAGAAACATGACAAAACGATGACAAAACGGTTCATGGTGCTTCGGAACTAGCCTTCAGCCGGGAAACACCCTAAACACATCGATGAATTACAGTAATCATACCAAACAATGGCACCATCAACACGTACTTGTCCTGAGATGTGGTTGTCGGCCACACGCATCGCACGCGTCAGCATGCAAAGCAGTGCCAGGCACAGCATGTTGAAACGCACCACCATAGCGGTGCGCTTTGAGAAGTGGTTTTGCAAACGGTTTGGGATGTTTGGGCCAAACACTGCGGGGCGAGGTGTGAGGTGACGTTCCGGCAGAAAGCTGTGGCGGGTGAACTCGTGACTGGCAGAAAGCCAAGCTCTTTCAGCACTGAGGAATTGTTATGGAAAAGGCCATACAGTCCGTCAAGATCCCGGACCCCTTGAAGGGGAGAACAGGAAGCACTTCAGTCGGGGTCAGGTTTCGACGATGCCCGGGGCCTCCTATGGCCTGGGGCCTATGGCCTATGTATGGCCCACGCGGTCACTCTTTCTGAACACAGGCTTGTGCCATGTGCCTGTCACAGCGCCCAGCTGGCATATGCTGGCAACCTCATTACCGGACCATTGTCAGTGGTGACCATGAGCACCCTTCACCAAATGCATGAAGGTAAAAACACACCTCGATGTTGAGAGCTTGTGATGCTCAGCTTCAGTAAGTCATTCTTGTCTAACTTATTAACTTGTACTACTAATACTTATTGTAATATGATGATGATGATAATTGTTTACTGACTGTTACAGGCAATAGGACAGACCCAACATATATTGTTCATTATTGTTCACTTATCTTTTTTACACCCAAGGTACCTTCTGGCAACGCTCGCTGTCTCGCCATGCTCGCCATGCTGTCTCGCCTCCCGACGGTCCACCCTTCGCCATAGAAAACACATGAAAAAAACACCTCTCTGGAGATGTCAGGAATAAACATTGCTTTCCAGATTCTTCCTCCCACAAATGACATGGCCCAGCTGCTTTGTATAGTTCAATCTTCCCCTTCCAGATCTTTAGTTTGTGAACCGATCCCGTGGCTTTGGTTTTGCCACCTGCAGTCCCCTTCTTCCCCCTCAAGAAAACATGGACATCCAATGAGTTGACTCCTCACAAACAAGTCTGCTGACCGTTTTTATTATGCGCACACACACAGTATACTGTGATCAAAACGCAATAGCTCAACATAACGGATGAACCTTGCAACATGCCTTGACATCTCGCAAGCTCCTTGACACCACATGAAAACGCTCAACTGGTCGAACCCAAGTGGCAGACCAGCTCCGGTTTGGTTGTGCCGAGCTCCCGGGAGCCTGGAGGTGCCACGTCGCCCACGTGAGGGCCAAACGTCCGACCTCGCTGGAGCGCCGACCGCGGCAGAAGGCAGAAGGGGGGGGTGAGGGCGGGTGGCACGCGCACGCCCAGAGCTCTGGGTATGCGTCCAAGGAACAGGTGGATGCAAAATGCCATAGGATGCCAGGATGTGCAAGCTTCGGCCAGCATTTAAGTGGTTGCCATGAGACTGGTCAAAAAAGTGATTTAAAACAACGAAAACAATACGGTGCTATAGGTTAGACCCGACCTCCACGATATGCACCAAGAGACCGGCCAAACCATCACAAACCATGACCGACTGATGACGATCTGAGCATGGAGACGAATGAAGGATCCACACAACGCAGCCTAGGTTTGTATACTCCCCTGCGGATTAACATGGGCTGTAAAGGAAAATGGTCTTCCACCGGTCAATTCTCAGTTTCCATGCAAGTTTGCTGGGTTTGTATATATATATATATAACCTGTCGCCAACATGTGCAGCCTCATGGGCGGTATCACACTGCGCCTGCCACGCGGTTTGTCTCCGCATCCCAAAACGACAACCGTTGGCGCAACTTTTGATGTTCAAGCTTCCTCAGCTAGAAAGGGTCACTGGACTTCCCCGCCCAAAGAGTTGCAGTGAACCAGCACTGATGCATCTCTGCACGGCAACTTGTGTTGAGGAGAAATCGGGTTACACTGCAAGGACCTTCACATCAGCTCATGGAAGCCAGCCATGCACTGGCGGGCTGAGACAACGCCACAGCAGTCTGGCCACGGTTCTCAGGGAGAGGAAGGCCCCTGCACCCAAGAGCGACAGGACGCCACAGATGATCATCGCCTCGACCGTTGGAGGTGCACTCGACAACTCCTCACCCCCTCCAGCAACCCATGGGGAAACTCGCCATGGCGTTTTGCCACGGTCACCGTGCCTACATGCGCCTACCAATCCCAAAGAAACAAACACCCAAGGCTATACACAGCAGTCGGAGTTTGTTTCGGTTGGCTGGGTTTTGAAGCCGCCAGACCCATCTCTATTCACATCCATTCACATTCACATCCAAATATCCATCTTCATCCATCTTCCACGAACTGTTGAACACCTTCGACCTTGTTTCATGTCCACCACACCTTCCCGCAAGCCACCCGACACGGCGCTTACGCCTGAAGGATCCGATCCCGGCGCTTACGCCGTTCGGCCGTCGTGAAGCTCAGTTCTCCATCCTGGAACAGCGCCTGGCTGTCGGGGTTGGGGTGGATGGATAGGTGGGCCATGGGGAAGACCATGCTTCCATAAGAGTTGCTGAAGCCCGCTTTTATCTGGTAGACTCGCAGACTAGCCTTCCTTAACCTTCCAAGACATTTCTTGATGATCCTCTCCACAATCCCACTATGTTCCACTGTTCCAATTCGCACGTCTGATCAACTGCGGAGTCTCCCACCAGCAGGCCCGGAGCAAACACGCTGGGGAGGAGCTTCCGGAAGATCGAGTCCTTGGGGGCGGAAAGCACGGAAAATCGGAAGACACTCCGACCAAACTAACTAACCCCATAATATGAGCCTTTGTTCTTATTGGACCATAGAGGGCCATAGACCAGAATCGGAAAACGAGGGGGGAAATCACCAGTCCGCTTCCGCACCACCGACACAGTCCACAAACCACCGATTGTCGAGGTCCATGTTAGCCAGGAAGGAAAAGGAAGAAGTAGTCCAAGGGTCCATGGTCCTTTTAGCAAGGATTCTGTTTGACGGGGGCCTTTGAAGAAGGATTCTGTTTGACAGGATTCTGTCTGAAAAACGAATGGACATCCACATTGATCCACTATCCACCCCTTTTAAAGCAATTAAACATCATGATAGAACGACAGGCCTACACCAACTGCTGCATGTGCCCCATCTCTTTCATACCCCCAAGGTTCCCCACATGGAAACAAAGATGCATCCTTATAAACGTTTCTTCCAGGTCATCGCATCATCCTCCACCTAGAGAATCTACAAACAATACTGTAAGGGCATAGGCTAAGAGGCATTCCCTGCCATCACCACATCATCCCCTCACATCTCGCTTCCCGCTCTTCAGCAGTCTCGGCTCCAAAACGATGGGCAACACAAAGGCCAAGGCAAAAGCCAAGTCAGTCGCCTCCAAGGCAAAAAAGGTTTGTGTACATAGATGTACGTAGAATCTCTGTTCAATCTACTGGGGTGTATATAACTAGGCCTGGAACTACCTTGCACATTTGAAGATGCTTAATGGGCATTGCTGTTTATTGTGCATATCCCATGACCTGTAACCGTGGATGATGATGGTTGGTAGAGGCCTTTCTCAAAATAGTGATACTCTTTTACCGACTTTTACTGGTAGTGGGACACCCTAGGTGCTCATCACCTTTTGTATTAGTCTCTTGGGAGCCTGCAAACGAAAAAAGAAAAGGACACCACCCACCGTCACCCCTACCCCTGGTGTTCTGGCACGTCCAGCCTGGTCGAAGCGCCGCTGGCAGCGTACCAGGCACTTCGCCTCCGGCGCTCGACGCCTCGGCGCTGCTCCGCTGCAAGCTGATCCCAGGTGATGGTGGAATACTGATCTCCCTTTCTACACTTTCTTTACGTTGAGGAAAGGTATATATAATATAGAACTATATATATACATATATATATATATATATCATATCTCGAATGTGTCTGCTTCAAGTGGCAAGGCCGCAGTGGAGGCTTGTCAAGTCATTAGGTAGCGAGTCTTCAAATACCAGGGTGAATCATTCAAGAATGTACTGGCAACTATAGTAACTATAGATGTAACTAGTGGTAATTAGGCAGGGGCCCCGGGAAGATCGAGGAAGTAGACCATCATAAGCTGAGGACCTCCCATGGAACGAGTTCAAAACCTGACGGGTGCTCCCACCGTCCGACTCATCTAGACCGTTCAAGAACCAGGTCCGCACCGCAATGATGTGCACACCGTGCAATTGAAAAGGCTCAAATCAATATATGCCAGCCCAAGGCTGATGAACTCTGACTCCCAGTCACCAAGTCTCACCGAAACATGTCAAGAAAATAAGCAGCAAACTTCCAGTACGTGGTTCCTCATCGATGCCCTCGGCAAATTGGAAAGCCTCACTTCTCCCGCTGCACACCGTCTCCTCGCTGCTTAGACCACCCGGAATCCTTCCCCTTTCCGGACGACGGCCATCCTCCCCAAGCGCGGTGCAGCGCCTCGTGTAGAGGGGCAAGGCTTTGGAGAGCTCCGCGTCGCACTCGCCCAAGCCTCCGGCCCGACGACCAGAAGCATGCCGTTGGGCCGTTGGGTGTTTTTTTTCACTCAAGACGGTGCGACCAGGTAGCACTGGTCCAGCACAGAGATGTCTTCAAAGCCGCTGTTGAGACCCAAACCTCAGTTAAGACTAGAAGACAAAGTCTATCGGAAGCTGGACAGGTCACAAGTTCAATCCACCGTACTTGGCCGTTCCCTCCAAGTCACCGTTCGATCAGTCAGCCTCTACGTGAACTCAGTGACCTTCTCGGTGACCGCCCCTCGGCTCCGGACCGAAGAAAGGCTTCACCGAGTGAATCGCATCGCCCAGCAAGCAGCACTTGCCACCTGCAGAGGTGAAGGCGACATGGAGAGACGACATCGCCTCCCTCAGTGAAGCGGAAAAAGACAAGGGTCCGGCCACTTCTCCTGATTGGGTCCACACGGGTCCACCCAGAATGAGCATGATCTGAAAGAAAAAATCCCGTGAGATTCACAGGCAACCCCGATTCGCGCCTAGGTTCAGCTCTGGCCCGGCGTAGGCGAACCGCGGCAGCTGCCGCGTCTTTCGCGCGGCAAAGTTGTCCCACCTGGGTGCTGTGGGTGGGCTGGCCTTGGCTAGCCTTTAGAGGTGAATTTTCTCTGGAGCTGGACTTAGAAATGCCCAATTCGTGACCTATTGACTCCTTGATTTCTGCACATTTGTCCTGAAAACTTCCTTGCCAACTGTTGTCTTTGGGGGACGTGTTCCAGCTCCCTTCATGTTTAGGCCCGCGGCTCTTCATCGGTGATCATTGGAGTAGGCCATTCAGGGAAGAGCTCCTGCTGCGGACGGGCAGAACAAAACTGCCCGTGCTAGTCAACGTCCCTGGGGCACTGATGAGAGGGTGAAACTCCCGCAAGAACCGTTGCGCCAGGACTGGGTAAGTCAGTTCGGGGCACCTCCCTGTAAAGGGTCCAAGGCAAACTGGCTGACTCTTCCTCTCGGGGCAGTCTTCATTCACAAAAGTCAAGGAACATAATGAGGCTGGGGAGTTGTTTCAAAGAACCTCATCTCGCCGTGAGTCCAGTCGACAAGTGTCACCGTAGAAGGCTGGCACTTCAACCAGTAGCTTTTGCTGCTGGGTGCTGGGGCCAGGGATCTCTCTGATTTCGTGAGTATACCTCATCCGCAAGCAAAGGGCCGTCCTCAAAGACCTTCTTCGCCTCAGCTCCTGACTCTCTCTCTCTCTCTCTCTCTCAGATGATCATGGCAACGGCCTCATTGGCGCCTCATCACTTGGCATTCCGAAGAGCTATATAATATCTTCCCCTCCCAAGTGAATGGGTCTTGCCAGGATATGGACCCGTCACCAACTCAACGCTTCGCCACATGGTAAATGTGTCCAACAGTCTCTTAACACTGGTGATGCACAAAGTGTTTATATAAGTTCAATTCTGTCTATGTCTCTTACAGTGCATTAGGCAAGAGTGGTTCATCAAGCAACTGGGAAGGCATGTCATTCTTGCGCGCTCATCCTGCTAAGTACACTTGCCAGCTTCAACCGAGGTTGTGCCAGAATTTGGCAGCCTCACCTCGCAGTGTAAGGAGCCGGTGGCAGCATAATAACCACCCGGCTCTCGGCAAACCAGCTGCATAGTTACCCGCCAAAAAGAACCGAACTCAGCCACATCTGCATGTATATAACAGTAGAACCGTGCTACGCCACATAATCCCCCAATGTTTCCCACAGTCTTTCCACATGCCGCGTCCGTCCTGATTTCAGCCCTTCGATCCGCTCGTCCGTGGGGCGGAACAAGACCACACCAAGGAGATCGCCCTCCACGTTGGGCAAGGCCTTTCAGTGATAGGCATGGATCAATATTAGTTGAGACATCCCATGACATCACAACATCGATCCTCCAATGGGATGACAACAAACAACGGCAGTTACGACCCATGCCCACAACTGGTCCAAAAAAAATTCACCCTACCCATGCCACTTGCTATGAGAAAGCCACATCAGGAAAAAAGGGTCTTCCCTAGGAAAGGTTTGAAGCGGCTATCATCTGACTCCCATCCACGATCATGTCTTCCAAGGAAAAATGCTAGGCCCATCTGCCCCCGAAGCTTGCCTCCACAATCACCTCAGCTCGCACAGCGAACAGCACATGCTAGTGCCCAGGAAATAACATTGGAACACTCTTCAACTGATGTCAATTGAATTGCACTGAAATCAATAGAAATCATGTCCATATTATGTACATTTGGGCACCACCCATGCAACAGGCCAAGGCACGTTGTCCTTGCGTACACTGTAGTTCAGCTCTGTGCTGTCTTCCTTCCCTGTTGGGATGGCCAAGACGCGATACACAATCGGCCGCCGATCCTGGCTCAAGGGACAGCTGTTTTGAGAGCAGGGACATGGCATAGGTGATAGGTAGGTGCCTTGTGGAGGGCCTTTGCCTAAGGAGGAATGGTCTATATAATATGGGTTAAAAATGGATGCTGGGCATGTCTGTGCGAAATTCTTGGTCTTCCTCTGCCAGCTTCCTTGGATGGATGCGACACCTGAGCTTACATCAGGGAGCGAGTCAGCCAAACTGAGATCAGCCCCGCCCACAAACGAAAAAGATCCAATGATCTTTCACCAAGCTGTTCACACTGCAAACGGTGTCTACCACCAACGCCGGCACCCCAGAAGCGCCTGGAAGCGCGTCTGTTCCACCCGGGCGCCGGCCGCCTGCAAGGCCCCGCGCACGGCGGAGCGGATGCCGTCGCAGCCTAGCACCAGATCGACCTGCGGTGCTGCGGTGCTGTTTGGTCGATGGGATTGGCACGGCACACGCCGTGTAAAATGGCCAAGAATGGGCAAGGCATAGGGAACATAGGGAACATCCAAGAATACCGAATACCTGGTCTTGGAGTGGCTACTTCCTTCACCTTCGAGGTCCTATGATGTGGCAGCACGCTTCGTAGAAGCATCCGACCACTTCAACTTGTGATGTCCAAGCCTTTCGGGGCAAAAACTGTCGAGTTGGGAATTTATAGTAACATCAACAAGCTTCTAATGATTCTATGTAACAAATCCCCCGATAAACTTCCAGAGTGGTCTTGACCCAGATCACCTCCGACTCACATCATTTGGCGGGTCTGTCTTTGTTATGGACAGTGCTCGAAGCTATAGATTCTTTGGCACCTGAAATCCATATTGCAAATTTCAGAACAACCAACTGGTCTAGACACTCCAAAGGGCCAAGCCCTGTTCTTCAGCTCCCAAGTCCAACACCAGCGCTGCCGGCGCTACCCTGCACGTTCTTCTTTCTACAGACTTTTTCACACGCCACGTCCAACCAGCTGCCCTCGTATTCTCGCAAACGTTGTCCTGAGTTGGGTCACCAACGCTGAAACGAAGGGGAATTTGTTGGGGTTGGTCTCCACATGAGCTGGTCAAGCTCCCAAACCGAACCCAAGTCTGTTCGGGGTAGAAAAGGGACCGACCACCTGCAACAGCGACAGCGTCACACCACACACACTCGGAAAATATGTTTATAGCGAGGCTAAACACTATATAGCATATATCACGTATCCTCGGAGCGGCATGTGCCGAAGGCAATACATTCAGACTTAATTAGTTTTCCTCCGCGCGCCATGTGTCAATGACAGGTCATCTCCGCTCTTCCATGTCTCCAAAAGCCAAGGGTCAGAGGCGCGAACGTCCCTGCTCCAGTTCGGCCGGGACCACAGGACCGAGCGATCTGCTCAGTTTGCTCAGGCCAGGCGTGTCAAGAAGATGGAGTAGGCCGGATATTGGTAGAGGAAGGTGCGCTTCTCCTCTAGGGAAAACCCCAATCAGACGCTCACATTGATCTGTCTCGCAGCTTTCACTAAGTATACGGAGCAGATTCTAGATGATTCTACAGTAGATGAGTTTCAAGATTTTCAAGTAGGCTGCAAGCAATGAGCCGGATAAAGAGCCTTCAGAACTTCAGGATACCAGAGGTGAGCTCAACAAACATCAATCTCAGCAAACACCAATGTCGAGTGTGGACCTGGAACAGTTTCCTTTTTGAGTCCTTGCGCCACTTCTGTGTTCATTCTTTGGAGCGGGAGCCATGTCGCTGGTGCGTTTTTCTCCTGTTTGGTCCCTGGGCAACCGACCATGGGACCATGGATGACCATGGTCGAACTCTCCTCCAGCACATTAGCATTGGGTGGAAAAAGGTAGCCATCTTCCACCTCGTCCGCTCCCGCGAGGCCCGTGATGCTCGCCCAGGACGACATCTGAACACCCCGGCTCGTCCCGGCGATGGCACGGTACACGCGGGTACCGCGGGGAAACCGAACTCGTCGATGTTTTTGGGGTTGGCTCTGCCGGGACAACACCAAGAGAATCGGTAAATGGATGTAAGTGTCAAGTTGTCAGGAACACTTGTGAGAATAGCAAGCCATGAGCCAACAGCATTGTGTAGATAGCCATGATGTACTAATATACTTCTGACAGTCGAGTTGCCATGAGTGCAACAAACACGTCCTGGCTGGCCGGAAACACCCTGCAATACAAATCGCACAAACCCTTCCTTTTGAACGACTGAAACATACAACCCACCTATCTTAGAACCATTTACTAGGCTCAAAGTGAGCTCCATCTGATCCAAGTCCAGGTGCTGCATCAAAGTCGACCTCGACCCCATCGGCGGCGATGTCATGTTCTTTCACAAATTCATGGCCTCAACACGTCGTGCCAGGCACATGTACCAGGCACCCTGCTTCATGCCGCTCATGAGTTTTTGCAGATCTTCTTTAACTGGAGGTTTGGAGTCATCAGCAGCGGGTGGAACCAAATTACTTTTGGATGTTGTTAAGCGCACTGGAGATTCCTGTTTGACCTCCTGGAGAGAGCAGAATCACAGCCAAAATCTGAGCGCTCGGCTGTCCTCAAAGCACCTCAGCCATTCCCAGTTGCTCATGACCTTCGCAGCCGCAGATTCACGGCTGTCAGACCGGAGATAGGAAGAACAAGTATATAACATGGGCAAAGTGGGGGGGCATGCCAAAACATTTTGAACATTCCTGAACTGACCAATTCGGTCCCCCAAAGGTCAAGTGACCAACTGGCTCTTTCCCTTCATCTACTCCCTGACCAACGCGTCTTCGCCGCGTTCTTCTCTCCGAGCGGCAGGGCCATGGTTCCAGCCCAGGAAGGCTCGACCCCCAATCTTCAATTTCCGCACCAGCTGAATGCCCACGCTGCCTGACAGGTTGTGGCGAGAAGGTCTGATTTTCAGGTCGCAGTAGGATCAAGTTGGTGCTCAAAAACTGGTCGCGTCTGGTGGTTTGGCCAGTTGAGAATGGAATCCTGCAAAACATCCACCTTCACCAAGCTACGACTTCACCAAGCAGGGCAACCAGGGGGTCAGCGATTCATGGTGGCTCTCCGTTCATGATAGGTACCCCTCAGTGAGAAGCTCAACGGCTCATGCTATTGATCATCTGTTCATAGACGGAACCATCAAACCCCCAAAAAGCAAACCAAGCGGCATTGATCGTGCTTCTCCAAGTGGTAGATGGAGGCATAGGAGATCACGTGATCAAAGGTCAGCTGGCACATGTGGCGAAATCCAACTACGAGTACTTCCCAGTCACCATGCCCAAGGAATTGAATCCACTAGAATTTCTCACCCCAAACATGACTCGGCGGACGAAACCGACTTAATATAAGAACTCCGATGCACAAAAAGAACATGAAACAACCCAAATATTGTACATAATAACTTGGTACTTCTGCGCATGGAACACACACCAAAAAACACTATACAGTAATAATATGCATCTCTATATAGTTCTTTTTTGGGTGACATACATACATACATTACATTACATTACATTACATTACCTACATACATACATACATACATATATATACACTATCATTACATACATCACGCTATTCATGTCCGTACATCATTGTTTTTTTTCCAACCCGGCCGCCATCCGGCCGCCTCCGGGAGCCAACTGAGGTTTCGCCCGTCGCCGTGGCAGAACATCCCCGCGCTGTGGCTCTGTGCCCAGCGCACGGCAGGCTCCTGTGGCCGGACGCCCTCGGAGGAACATCGTGAAACGAAGTGGAGTTCACCCCCGATGTTTCGTAAAGGAGTCTTCCAAGGGACCGTGCCATGCACTTCCATGTGTTTTTTCTGAGTCAGAGTGTATCGGTGTTCCCCATGGATCCAAAGAGACCATCCACCGAAGGCAGCGACGAAATTGAGTGACTCACTTGCTCTTAACCATGAACATTGTAGGTTTAAGCTTTGCTGCGTGCCCCCGCTTCTCCGATTGTCACAAACACATGCAGTACCCATATAGACATCTAAAGACCGCCGGTTCACATCCACGCCCCAAGTCCTCTGCATTCCACCGTATTCCACTGCAAAACTGCTTGGCACAACCTCCGGTTTCGACCATCTTTCCACCCCTACGTCCGTTCTCCTGGATCTCCACCCCGACACCCTCCACATCAAAGAGCATTTTGGCCCAAGAGAGCCTCGGCTCCGGATGCCCGCTGCGGGAAACCAATTCGCGTGAAGGACCTAAGGACCCAAACATCCATGCCTCGAGCAGCGCCTCAAGAGAAGCAAAGCACCAAAGCCCAAGCAGCACCACACCCTGTGTGCGCCATGTTTGATTCATATCATAGTGGTTGATAGAAATTCCTGCGCCATTCTTTGTGAAAACAATCTTTACTCTAGCAAACGTGTTGGCGAACTCCATGTTCAACATTCGCAAGGGGGGGTGTATGCTAGAAGTCTCTTTGGTTTGGTTGTTTCTATACCCATCTTTGGCAGATCTTTTGCGACATCTTACATTCGCAAACTTTGAAGTTTCTGTTGTGGTGCACAAAATGGCCGGCCAACTGTTGTTTTCTGGGTGGAACTCTAGAACTTACATACGAGGGGACGTGCAATCCGGGAGGATTTTGAACGGGACACTCAGGGACACTCAAGGACAGTCAAGCCACCAAGTTCGAGGCAGCCACTCAAAGACACTCAAAGACACTCAAGGATGTCCGTGAGTGTCCTTGAGTGTCCTTGAGTGTCTGGTCTATATCTTGGATAACCTTGAGTGTCCTTGAGCGTCCTTGAGTGTCTGGCTTTTTTGAATGACGTTGAGTGTCCCGAAGTGTCCTTGAGTGTCTGGTCTATTTCTTGGGTGATCTTGAGCGTCCTTGGGCGTCGTCTAGTTCTTCTTATAGATGACCCTGAGTGTCCTTGAGTGTCTTGAGTGTTTGCTTGTGTCCTGGCTCAGACTTGTTTAAGTGTCTTCAAGTCTCCGTCCTTTAGTGTCTATAGTCTACACTTTTATGTTTCTGGCGCCCCTGTTTCTGGCGTCCCTAGCTGTGAGGGTAGTGCACGGAAAGGGCTTAGTAGAAGCCTATTCCACTAACTTTGTGGAAGGTCCGGTCATTCGTGGAACCCTTGCCTATTCACATAGCATTCGTGGAATTCTGGATCCTTAGGAATACAAACTCCAACAAAAACTGGGAAACCTTCGCAGGACTTAGTGGCAAGCTTTTTTGGGGTAATGCACTAGCCTCGTAAGGATATTTTGTGCTCTCCCTATTTCCGCACACACAAACCCTCCATTGTGGGGAGGGCAATGGTATCCCTTTTGAGATTTGTGAAGCATTCATCGAGACCATCGCAGCTGGATATGTCGTGGCTCATGCACGGATCCGGATATAAGGTAGAGAAAGCTCATAGAAACTTAAGGACACGCTCCATTGAGGACAAGTGAATGAAACCTGAAAGTTTTGGCACACCCTAGCTCTTGAAGCGTCAGCAGTGCGATCGTAGCTGTTCCTGGGCCAGGAGCAGACGCAGTCTGGGAGCCAAGTGCAAGGAGGGCTGGCGTTCGTTGGTTGAGCGCCGGTCACACATGCAGTGATAGCAAGCAGACCAATCACAGCAAAATCGCCAATAGAAAAAAGCCTCGTGAGCTTGTGGTTCTTTCGCATGGACCCGATGTTACAGACATTGTGTATCCAAACCGCGCACCTAACCTGGATACATGCTTGGCTGCAGAGATAGCAAGAAAATGCATCAAGTCGAAATAAGAGATGCCTTGGGTCCCACGCAACCTTGAAAATGGCCCTGTAAGGTTGTGGTTCTTTTCGTGGTGTTCTGCAAGTGTTCCTTCTGGGGCCGTTTTCAATCCAACACCAGACCTGACTGTAAGGATTATTTACAGACGCTGGGTACCCAAACAGCAAGCAACAAATACAATACACATCCACTTGCCTGGATATGGATGCGCTGTTGCTGTCGGAGGAATCACTGGACCTTATTGCGCGCGCAACAGTGAGGTAACAGGAGTTACACGTGGGACGTCTACCTCGAAGCGTGGAGAAACCAACCTTGATTCATCCCATTTTCTGTTTTCTTCGTCACACATTGCAAAAGGCGTGTGCTCTGACCCACTCCTTACACTCTACCTGAGGACATTTGGCCCGCGCAAACTGCCATCGGGAAGGTTGTAGCAAGGGCTCGCCTTGTGGCGGTGCATGGCTTGGATGAGCAGACTATCCGAAGCATGGGAGAAGCAACGCGAGAGCAACATAGACGACAGACTGAGCTATACAACTCCTCACTTATGGGAACTCCGCAACTTAGAACGGCTTTCCGAGCCTTGGGATGAGATACCTGCTCAAGCCCGCGCAGGCTGTGCGCAATGGATTCCAGCCCGACGCTACAGATGCAAACGCCCCAACTTCCAACAGCGCCAAAGCCTGGCCCAAGCGATTCCCCCGAAAGCCGCGGGCAGATGGCAGAAAGCCGAATATCCCAAAAGAATTGTTGCTGTCGCAAAGAAGACCCAAAAAGAGCAAGAAGGTGAAGCGCCCCAACCGTAACGCCCCAGCTACCTTTGCCAATGTCGACTCTGTAGATCGAGGAAGGCAATGCATCGACGCCGCCAAAAGGCTGAGCAGGTGTGCAACTTACCAAGCAAATCTTTGCTACATCATTTCCATCTTAAAGCGTAGAAATGTAGCCATGGCAGATGTTCTTCCACTGCAGCGGGCGCAGAACGACTTTACCGCGACAGCGACCCGAGCAGACGCGCAAACCTGTTGCCAGAAGGACTTGCATGATATTGGAAAGACATGCGTCCACCTCCAAAAACGCAATCTCAGAAAAGGTCGACTTTTTTTCCGGGTCATCCCTCCTCACTTAGATGGGCATGCTGCTGATGAGCAGAGTTAGCCAAGTCTACTTGGGTGGGCCCCCTGCAGTCAAGTGACCCTTTGCCTGTTCGCAAAACTTTGAGTGGAGAACCCATCCGCGTTGAACCGCTAGCCGGCCAGGAGCACAAGAGCCTCCTGATTGAAGGCTGTTGGCATCAAGCGGTTGCACCTTAGTGTGTGTGTGGGCACACAGCCACTGATGCATGTCGATGTGATTCTCCGCGTTGCTCGAAAAATGTTTCCTGTATATGATGCTTTGCTCATAGGTATGAATCCGGCGAGTCCATTGCTCCAAGGAAGGGCGGAACCAAAGAATGATTTGCCTGTGCCTTTTTGTGATTTGAGAAAAGTATGTATATATATATATCCATTCTTGCTCATACATATCAATATTGCCCGCCACTAGGGGCATCACGCATCGCGATGCTCCGCCCACGTCGCCCACCATGGATGGAATGTCCTTTTTGCTTGCATCGGTACATCGTGACCTATGCCAGCGGGCTACCTTTTTGTTGGACTCCAAGCAACGTGTGTTGCGGTTTTCTGGACGCTGGCTGGCGCAATGCCGTCAAAGGCCACCTTCTTGACCTTTATGCATCTAATTCTCTCCGGCTGGCCACTTCGCAACAGCAGCTTGGCGTGCTTTCTTGCCTGCCCAAACTTCGCGCCCTGCGCGGGGTCTTGCGCCAGGCCCAGAAGTTCGCCTGTCCGTACTCAGGTAGTGCAGTGAAGGGAGACGGTAATTTCAAAATAGCCTCTCGCATCAAAAGGCACGGCCACGCATCACTTTTTCAACCAATCAAACAACTGTGTGCACAGTTCTAGGACGGTGAAGTCAGCGCCGCCAGCTGTCAGGAGCTCGCCCTTCAACCGCCGGATGGCTGCCTATTGAAGCCGTGCGAGTTGCTGCCCATTGAGTCCTGGACCCACATGAAGCCAGATTTGGAGAACCTGGCCGATCTCATAGCTTGCAATCAATCCAAACCAGTTTGGCCAAGTTTTGCTGATGCGCACCCCTATAGGTTCTCAAATTTAGCTGCCTTTCTTGTATCATGGCTAAAAGCTTGCTGAGGAGACAGCACCGCGCAGCAGCAGGACTTGCCCAGCCAGAGATTCCACCAGTGTATTCATTTCTTTCAAATGTTGCGCGTCCAAATTCATGGTATGCACTTGGACCTGCTTCACTGAGGATCACTGGCGACCCACAGCACGAGGTCCTTGCATTGGCCAGACTTGTGCCTCCAACCAGCAGCGACGGTCCAAGGTTCTTGGCAGGTCACAAGAATTTCATGGTTAGACTCCGTTTGCCAGCGCCGCCGCACAGACCCTGTCCGGCTGATCACATCTTTGTCTGAGGACAGACTGCGACAGAGGGCGTTGTATGTGTTGCACTTGCTGGTATCGTTCTCGGCATGTTGCACGCGCCCATAATAGTGACGGACATGGTGAGACAGATGTCGCAAGCCCCTTTCAGGCCCTTTCACCTTTTTTGGTTGAAGCAGTGCGCAACAGACATTTTGATCTGGACAAGTTGTTGCGCTTCAAACCGCCAGAAGACAGAAATACAGAATTTCTTGGGGCAGCCATATGCTGCTGGCGCACAGACTTGGTGCCAGATAGACAAACCTTGGCGCGGCTTTGCGTGCGATTCTGCGTGAAGCTACATGACACAGAGGGCAACTACAATGTCCGCAGCGCGAAAGACTTCAAGAGGGAACTCTGGCGCATCATCCGGTGGTACAAACAGCGCAGACGGACAACAATACTGCGACAGAGAAAGGTGCTTCGCAAAAAAATCATTCGAGGCAAGGCCGGCGTCCTCAGCAAGAAGGTAGCTGCAGGCTAGGTTTGAAGGGGCAATCGATTAAAAGGATGCATAGTAAACTGAGCGGGCGTGCTAAGCTTGAGCTGAGAGCTGACCGGCGCCACACTGCTTTGCTACACGTTAACATCTCTGCAGCCCCGTACCAAATATTGAGCGCAGCCGGCCGACTGACAGGCCCCCAAGCATGGATCGAGGTGACGTTGGGGCGGAGAGTGTAAATCTCGGGGGCTGGGCGGCCAGATGTGTTTAACTACAATGTGACCTTCTTCAGCGCACTTGAGAGCATGTCAAACCTCCGGGGTCTGAAAGAAGTTTGTTTTGGATGGAGCCGCCAGCCCCCAGCGTTTCTAACCAAAGCAGGACCCTGCTCCAGCGAGATGACATGTGGAGGTTGGGGACGCTGCGGCCGAACAGCAGGCAAGAGCTAAGGATGTGAAACGATGCTACGCAGATCCACGCTCGTAGATGCCAACTAGAAAATCCTGCGAGCCTCTTGCAGATGTTCATTGTCTCTTTCATGGGTCAGCCGGAGAAGTAGTAGTGACAACGACATGAATGAGTGGGTTTCTATGCAGAACACTTGGGTGATGGAAGAGTTAAGCGGCAAAAGTTCGCAAATGTTATCCCATCCGTCAAACCGTCAGTGCCATCTTTTTGGGTGGAGCAGTCTCCAGACCTGATCATGGTATTCGTTTCTGCTACCCAAAGGTGGCTGGGTGCACACAGAAGGCCACCCTGCTCAACGTCATTGCATTTGAGCGCCATTTCGGCAAGGCTGCGCAAGAATGTCCCCGAAGAGCGGCGAGTACAAGGCACAGGAAAGCCGTGGGTGGGTTGCCCCCATTGCACCACAAAGGTGTGTTATGTATGTCGTTTTTGTCAACTAGCCAGTCACATATATGCATCAAAACAATCTGGGTCTGCTTCCGATGGTTCCTCTGACTGCGTTCTTGCTGTTTGCCTCGTTGTTCACCTTTTGTTTTTGGGCCCCTTTCGCCCAGGAATACCATTGCCCTCCCCACAATGCGTGTGCGGAAATAGGGTGGGCACAAAAATTCCTTATAAAGCTAGTGCATCATCAAAAAGACGCTTGCCACTAAGTCCTGCGAAGGTTTGCCGGTTTTTGTTGGAGATTGTACTCCTAAGGATCCAGAGTTCCACGAATGCTATATATATATGAAACCTAAACTAGACGACACCCAAGGACGCTCAAGGACACTCAAGATCATCCAAGAAATAGACCAGACACTCAAGGACACTTCAGGACACTCATTGCATTCAAAAAGACCAGACACCCAAAAGCACTCACGGTTATCCAAAAAGAGCAAACACTCAAGGTTATCCAAAATATAGACCAGACACTCAAGGACACTCAAAGACACTCAAGGACATTCTTCAGTGTCTTTGAGTGTCCTTGAGTGTCTGATTCAAATAGCGCACGTCTGGCGACCCCAATGTTACGAGGTACATTAGACCAAAAGCACCAATCGTACAAAAGGCGGAAAGACCATGAACACAAATCATGTTAAAAGTGGCTTTGAGAATGGTGAAGCGCACACTCGCCATCTCTTCATCCCCTGCAGCAATCCCGAGCAGCATCCGACAAAAGAAACATGTCACTTCACAATCACTTGGTTCAGCGAGGAGTTGGTCCGCTGCGCGAGGAGAATCCAAACCCAGTGGATGCCAAGAAGCTTGTGCCCACATCCAGATCCCCAGTCCAGAACCAGTTCGCCTGGCCAAGAACATGCAGCTCACCGATCACGGGAGACAGTGACCCAAACCCACAGATTGTGTATTTCAGATATTGGTACTGCCTCTAAGCCTCCAAGCAACAGCACTGCAATTTCCAATGGTTTGTCCTACGCTTGGCAAGCACTGAAGGGAGGCTCTTTCGGGCACGGGCCAAAGGACGCAAACTCCCAAGCCTGGTCTGAAGCGCAGCCAATGACCCACTGTAATCAGCACCTACAGCACAGCATGGCAAAGTGGGCGATGAGATATGATGACTCAGGCCCGGTCGAAGTTAGCGATTCGTGTAATGGCCCAGGCCACAAACCTCTAGACTCTTCACCACTCTTTGCGTCCAAGCCTGCAGAATTCTCATGGTGCTGTCCCATGTGTTCTCCGTGTGCACCTGCTCGTGAAAAGGATTGTCCAATTTCCCCAACTTCTGGACCACCTGCGTTGCTTCACTCGTCGCTTCTTCACTCGTTCAGGCGCTTTTCCCGTCTTTCGCTCCCCGGGAGCGCAGCGCCGCGCAGCGCAGCGCGGCGGCGCACACTGCCGAGGCGCACACTTGTGGATGTCACTCATGGCCTCATGCCACATGCCGCGTGAGTCTTGACACTGCAGCCTTGAAGGACCGAAGAAGGCCGTGCGGTCAAGGACCGAAGGACCGAAGGGACCGAAGAGTACAACGCCGGTGTCTGTGTCTCAAGGAGCGCAAGGTCTCACAGCATTGAGTCAATATGATTACGAGGTCTTCATGTCTTCCCCCTATCGTCTTTAGGTATATGAAGAAGAATGATAGGCAGTGGCAATGCCATGGATGTCAAACATGCTTGGGGGTGCACCACTCATGCTGACTGCTGACTAAGAACCGCCCCGCTACCTGGATGGTTCTACATCTCCATATAAATCCATATGGGTTTCATTAATAATCAACAGTCAGCATGCGATGCGATGATCTGTTGAAAGGAGAAGGCATGAAAATCATTGAGCACCAATTCATCCGACATGATGGAATAAGTATTCAAACTTATTTATATACTATATTATATCCCATTATATCCACCCATTCTCCCATCTCAATATGTCGACTCGGCCCTTGAGGACAGGAAACTGATTCGCGCGGTCCTGGTATTTCTGGATCTTTCTCCCCAGTCCTTCCTCCACCTTCCTGAACGGGACCAGCGAAAGCTCACGGGGCTCCAGGTCGGATCCAAATCCGGTCGGATCGTGTCTTTGGCTTCATGGCAGAAGAGATCTCAAAAATACTTGAAGAAAATCAGGTCATTGAGGAGGATCCAGGTACTAAGCTAAAGCTCATCAAACATATCAAACTGAAGGTTGCTGAGCAACCTTTCGTGATCCGTGTGACGATGTGTCATGTGCGGCTCCATCACATCCGCTTGTGCCCCATGGAGAGGATCTTCAAGCAAAAACCCCTTTGATGCCAGTAGTGGGGGGAGTGACACTGGTGACACTCTTGAGGCCAGTGATGTTCAATCAAACCATATCAAGCCTAACTCTCAAGTGGAATCAGCGAGGCTTCACCTGTCTAGCGCTTCTGGCACCCTCCCCTGCAGGGAAGGTGCAACTCCTCAAAAGCTGGGCATTGGATGCGTTCCTTGGTTTTGGGCACCCCACATGCGCCAGCACAGCTGGTCGGAAAGAAGGCAGATCCTCGGGGGGATCCCCAAGGGGCCAATGATTCGATTGGAGCATGGACCCAGCAGGCTACCGACCGCCCTCTCTGCATTATAAGTCCTTCAAGATCCTTCAAGGCTAGATGATGGGCTTCTTGGTATGTCTTGCAAAGTCTCTAAGCAAATCTCCAGGCCCCCAGCCACATGCACCAACTTAAGGCCATGCGTCACATCCGTCATCTGGCTCTAGCATAATGGTATAATTAAGTAATATGTATTCTCCATTCTTGGCGCTCAGATCCAACACACTTCCTGTGGCATGTGGGCCCCAGATCTGGCCCCCATTTCGACGCTAAGTGTCCAAAGAGTCCAAAGTGCTGCCCACACGTGCAAGCACATTCGCCTAGGCAGGAGCCAACAGTAGGACCCGGTCCGTGGGATCATCCGCAAATGGGAGGATCTGATCCGTGTGTTTCATTGTGCTTCCAAATGCTCTGATTCCGGCCATATCATGCCACAAAGATTAGATATCATATAGTGCCAGGACATGCCAGGACGCATGGTTCGTCCCCACCAATCAACGAGGGATTGTTTGTTTAGGGTTGTAAGGTTTAGAGTTTGCACCGCTATTCGCATGGAATTGCTGAGAACCTGATGATTGTTGAACGCAAGCATTCAAAGTGAACGTCTCTTTGTGTTATAAGCTATATTATATAATATCTCGGTTATCCAATCGCCACAATCGATGACAAAGCCTCAAATGCCTAAAGTCCCTTTCGGATTGCTATTTTAAAGGAATTTACTGCCCCTTCGCAGAGCGTATATATATATATACACGAATCTGTAGCTACATAGTTTTAACATGTATACCCGCCCTGACCTTTTCACGGCACTAACCTCTGTGTCCCCAAAGCTGCCCCAAACAAAGCCCACCAAGCCCTGCCACATCGTGCCACTCCCGCCACTCCCCACGCCACCCCAGAGCATCCAAGACCATGCGACCAGTTGCCCAAGACCATCCAAGACACATTCTGGCGCAAGGACCGACACCTCCTCACCAGCTGATCGTCGGTGTAAACCAAACCACAAAAACCCGAGTCCTCGGCGTGAACACGAGGCACGTACCTGGCATCGCCGATGTTTGGCCGCCGGGAATGCCAAACCAAAGGAGTTGAGTCAGTGAGTGGTTTGGCGGAAAACGCTGTGACGCATATTCCGGTTGGCGGAAAACTTGTTGGACACCCATGTCTGCCCAGGACTTGGTTTCAAGTCTTTGTTCCACCGACAGTCACAAGAACGTGACCAATTGACGCTTGTGCCAGGCCAGCATTACCACAAAGAAACCAATGATCTAGTGACCTAGTGATTGTATTGTAGACTCTTGATTAATAAACCCCCTTCATTGGGTTCCATGTCATAATCAACAGCCTACAGTCTACATGAATTAGCTACAGTAGTATATAAATGAGTCTTCGCCCTCCTTTCGATGCCATGTATGAAGAACATTCTCCTCGCTGGTAACATGGTACCCCCTGGCCTGTTGTACATGCTCGGCGCCGAGGACTGTTGTGTATTACCTGGTCCCGCAGCAATGGCAAGGGTAGCATCCGCAAAGCTTGGCAAGCAAATCTTCAATCATCTTGATTTCTTGGCCATTCTCGGGTCGAGGGTTAATTATATAATATATAAATGTTCAGCCGGTTCCTACCTGCCAGGTGAACTGTCTCACCCAATGAGCAAGAAAATCCAAATCATTCCTATGATTCTGCTCTTCTTTGAGGACCCTTGTCGTGATTAGCCATCGAGCAGTATATATAGCAGAACAGCTGCAGGTCCTCACATGCACCTCATGATCCACCCGTCTGAGAACTGCAGGCTCAAATCCCAAATCCCCCCCTATCTAAAAACATCTAAAAACCACCAACGTTGGGCACCAAGGGCCTAAAAGAGTCTTGATGGCACTTTAGCAAAGTCGAAGAAATCAGACTGGCCAAGCCACAAAGGAGGAGGTTCATCGGGACCATGTTGGCATAGCGGCTGTACTGCGAGGTGTAGAAGGGGAAAGGTGCCAACGAGGCACCTGTGCCTGGCGAGTCATCGGAAGGACCAGTTAGAACCCAAGCACCGCCAGTTGCAGGGTGGGTCCGAGTTCAATCACAAAAAGAAGTTCCACAAGCACCGCCAGGCACCCACAAACTTTGGGTCTACTATAATAGTTCTCGCCTTCTGTAGTTGTATAAGCGAAAGCCTTCAGAAGTTTTGTTCCAGTTCCAGTTCAAATCCCACAAATTCCAGCGGACCCTGTGTCGACCCAAAATGTGCGGGCTGTTCTTGCTTACCTCTTAGGCAAGCAAGAGGTGTCAAATAATATCACTAAACAAGACTCATAACCGCCATAATCTCCATCAGCTGCACATCACCCGCATGGAGATGTTAGAGCACCTGCCTGAAACAAACCACATGGCCCTGCAGGATGAGAAACGTGGGGTTATTGGCGGAGACCAAAAAGCAACTTGATCGTGGGATGCATGGAAAACAAATCACATCAGAGGGAAGCCTCCTGTTCCGACCCGCTGTCATGTTGTGAATTGCCTGGATGACATGGCGGCTTAAAAATGCTTAAAGGATCTTAAAGGCTTATAGATGCTATTAGATGCTTCTGGAATCTTGTGGATTTATATATGTGGGATATATATATATATATATTATAGAGAGAGATATAAGTAGGGCAACCCTCTTAGATTCCAAAAATGAACGGAGTGGTCATCTGAGCCCAACCTGCACGTCCAACAAACAATCGTTGCTTTGCTTTGCCGCGGGCAACACCGACACCATCTGCGTCTGTGCCCACCCGGCGCCTAGGATCTTCGCGACCTCTGGTGTGGGCTCCTTCACCAAGAAGTACCTGCGGCCCAGCATCGCTGCAGCGAAGCTTCACGGTTCCTCGTTCTCTAGCCGCAGCCCCCACACGCCCGCACGATTGACATCTTTCCTATCCCAGCCACTATGTAGTCCTACCTACCTTTCAAGACCTTCTCTCTCTCTTCAGCATCCCCACACCGGCGCGCCCGTCGCCGTGTCGCGCACTGCGCGATGATGATCATCGTCGAGAGCAACCCCGGAGCACAGCGGAAGTGGGGCGCCCCCTCCGCACCGCCGGCCGTGGCCACCTGGGACGGGACGGAGTCGAGGGTGGCCGTTGGAGGGAGCACGGCTAGACGGCTCCGAGGCCAAAAGAGATTCAAAGAGAATAGTCTCCTAATCAATCCCAATGGCATGCTTTTCCTTGATGTTTAAAGCATGTGCATGAGTGTGCACCAGTAGGACTCCTCCACAAGTACCTCCCGTCCTGGGCAAGCTGGAAAGCTGTGTCCTGTGGGCGAGGTCGGCGACCCGTTGGACCCACGGAGGATCGCTTCACCGGTACCCGACAGGTGACCAAATGGACGCCCCTACGCCCCCTTCTAAGGGGTCATAAGTGTGCTTGTTCTTTGACCACGAATTCTGTCGACGTGGAAAACCCCAAAGCATGACCGAGCGGACCGAGCATTTAACCCGATGGTTTAAGTTGATCTCCCCCCGCTTGGCGGCCAATCGCTAGTGTCGGTGATGTGCTTGCTCTCGGCAAACCCGTGAGGTGAAACAGTTGAGAAAGGATGTCTGGCAGGGAAACGAATCTAGTTATAGGACCAGGAGTCTTTCCTGGCCATGTGCCAAACTGAAGCACTTTCAGGATGTACATGGCCAGTTTAAACCTACGCCGCCAAAAGTTGCACAATCTATAAATTCCACCGCAACATCGCAAGCTGCTGAATACGCAGCTACATCATGCAAATTTCAAACATGAATCCCAAGATGCAATTTCGTGGCCGCAGGCCAAGAACGCCATTGTTTGACTGTCTGAAACTGTCTTAGCTTCATGTTTCACTTGGGTTTTGCCGTGGCATCGTCCGACTTAAACCCACACCTCCCGCCCTCCCGCCCCTCCGTCGCCGGGCGGATTCTTTTCGCAGTCCTCGAAGTCCAACTGGCACGGCTCGTTGGGAGGACACTTCTCACAGGTGCCTTCCAGAAAGACCTCCACGGCCGTGTCACACGGGTGCTGCGCAGAAAAAACCGCACGCGAGAAGGTGGTGTCAGTGGGTGTCTTTCCTTCCGCGGAATTGGTTGAAAATCCGGATCGTTCATCCTTTCTTCGGCCCTCGGGCTCAAACCCACGTGCCAACAAAAAAAACAAAAACCGATTGGTAATTGTTCGTGACCTCCCTCCATTTCGCTTGCCCTCTAGCAGCTAGTAGCACCTGGCAATGTCTGTGAAAGATGTGGAAGGTTGTTGAGCCCATGGTTGATGTAGATAATCTATATGTATGAGACTATATGTGTGTGTGTGTGAATATAAGCCTATACATTTCCATGTAGCTGAACATCACTTCTGCTGCATCTGGTGAACCCATTTCCAGCCCATCCCTCCTTTTCCTCGCCTGCCAGTCGATGCCGTGCTCCACTTCAGGGCAGCCCACCGCGCTGAGATACTCCGGGTCGCAGAACGGGATCCCCGCGCAGCCTGGGAACACCTGCGACGCTCCGATCCGATCCGAGCCGATCCGATCCGGGCTGTGCTGCTTCGACCGGACGTGAAGGCGAAGGACGCGAGGGCGGATTTTCATGCTACTGGGCACCTGGCTACCTGGGCACCTGGCTAGTATGGGCCTGCAACTTGTTCGACTTCCAGGGCTCATTGGATGAGCCAATTCTCCGGCCTGAAGGATGAGCAGCCAGCATCCTCGCAACTCCATCGGCCCATGGCGCAGGATCTACAGTCCCAGTGGACCAATGGAGAGGGGAGACTGCATCACCAGCAGCTTTGGAGGATGACTCTGGAGGTGCCGGTCGGTGCCGGTCGGCACCTGATGACAATGGCCTGGCGCCTTCATTTCGCTTGGGCCAGTTCTCTTTTGAGGGACTTCGCGCGTGGACTGAAGGCGCGGGGCGACCATTCAGACTTCTCCCAACGGAGGAGCATCCCAACGGACATGTTTGGACCAAAGACATTCTTTCGCGTCCTTCCACTGAAGAGTGGCTTGTGCGAAACGCGAAACGCGTGTCATCAGGTTGCTGACTGGAAGTATACTAGCTTCCTCCATCCGGCAAGATGGCTCTTCCACATTCCTTTGTTTCATGGCTTCCCAGCAAGAACTTGCAGAATTCAGGAACTAAAGTCTGTATGTGTTCCCTGGACGTCAAAACTGCAGGCCTACCATCAAGGCCTTGGCAACCTGTGCCACTGGTCCCTTTCCAAAGCCGAGGCCTCCATTTCGCTTGGGGCCTCATTGAGAATGTCACCTCAGATAAATTCCGGGTGTCACTGAAGACTTGTCGGCCACTCTCTTCATGCCCACAACATCCCCAAAAGCATCCAACAACAAAGTGACAGTGGAAGACTGCCGCATGTGAAGACTATTTCGCTTTCACAACTCAGCATTGGTCCACCAGGCCCACTGAAACCGACAGCATTCAACCTACACACCAATAACTTAATAACAACCGGTGTTCCAATCACGATGGCTTCGGAGTAATATAGATGGCACAAACCCACAGATGTCTTGTGTACAAGGGACTCCATATAGCCCACCTTTCGGGATGGTGCCATCTACTTCTGAAACCACTGCCTTTTGATTTATATCCAGCATATATATATATATATATCCGGTAAAGGTGACACACGGTGACACCCATAGGCCCAGGATAATGCATTATAGGCCCATCGATCGCGGAGCCGACTTGCCCCATCGCCCAGGCTGAGGCTATGACAGGACTCCTCTTGTGCCATGCCCTGCAAGAATCGTGCGGGTGCTCGGAGCAGGGCAAGAGACCAGGAGGATCCAGGAGGTGTAAAGAAGGACGTCACAATCGACGGAACCCTATAGACCCCGGCCCTGTATGTATGTATGGATGGATGTATGTATGCATGGATGTATGTATGCATGGATGTATGTATGCATGGATGTATGTATGTATGTATGTATGTGTCTGTCTGTCTGTCTGTCTGTCTGTCTGTCTGTCTGTCTGTCTGTCTGTATGTATGTATGTATGTATTGGTGCGTCCACAATTGGATCTTTGCATGGCGTCGACCACTCCGATGTCCGGCGAGCATCGCCTGGACGTCTTTCGGCACTCCACATCGCTGCAACTCCAGCCGGGCCCTTGCTTGGCTGAAATCCACGCTAGTGCCTCGCTGGGCTTTCAAACATGTGGAGCAAAGACTGCAGGATCAGGTACAGTGCTTCGGTCATCCTTGACAGTATTTGACAGTATTATATATATAAATATCAAAATTCACATGTTTTCACCCTGGTGCTTGTGAATTAGGACAGTCCTTCTCGTATTTATTTGTCCTTGTGTGCCCTTTACCAGGACCTTCTTTTTACCTGGACCTTCTGATCAGGGTGCCCAAATGGAGGTCCGGAGGTGGGTTATTCCGTTGATCCGAAGGAATGGTCAGACGTCTTCACCAGGACGACGTCTGTCAGCTGGTGAAGATGCATGTCCAGTTGAAGAAATGCATTGATTCGTTTGGATGCTGCCTTGCAGCTGCCGAGGCGACTGCCGAGGCGCACTCGGTTGAGAACTGCACCTCTACCTCCGGATGCTTCTCCTGCAACTCCTCGGTCAGCCAACGTTTTGCAACAGGATGCTGCAGGCCAAGGGAAACAAACACAAGTTGGGACACAAGATCGGATGCAGAAGCACCTTCGGACCCCCTGGTGCCGATGATGACCTCATACCCTAGCCATCCAACAGGTCTCACGTATTTGTTCATCCAGCTCATCGCAGGTTTAACGGTCAGATCCAAAGCCATCACAGGTCCAGCATTTCTCCATTTGGCTGTGGGTCACTACTGGGACACCCTGGTTTTTCCCACCGAAAATGAACAAATTGCGAGGAGGTCAACCTACCAGGATGTGGAGCTCCAGGTTTTGACCCATGTCCATTTCTCACGCCTGATCATGTTTGATCCATCTATGTGCCACTGGGCTCGCGTCGGCCGGGCTCCTGATAGAGGCAGCTTGACAAACGATCTCGGGCGATGACCTTCGTCATGAAGCGGCGCTTGTTTAGGGTCACCTCCAGGGTGGAAGGCGTGCTTGGACATTGGTTGTTTGGGCAAAGGAAGTATTGGCAGACTTCATCACCCACCGTGGCTGTCCCTTTTTTCCTCTTGTATTCCAGACTCGTGTTGTGGTTATCCGTGTTCGCCCAAGAACTTCCTTGTTGAGGGCTTGTCCGATTCGTTGCGCATGCAACGGCCCGGCCCAACCCTTCAGTCCTGCCTTGGCCTCACCATTGGACCAATCCTTTCTGCCCACCACCGTCCTGCTGTAGTGGTCCACCGTGTCAAAGGCGCCAAAGCGCATCAGCGCCCGTTGCCCACGGCCTTCAAAAGGAAGCGGGCGGCCCCGGCATTTTTGGGCTGCGAGTCGGAGCTTGGAGCGAAACTTGAAGACCTTGTGAGGTAGTTAAAGTAGCTGGCGATCTTGTCCTCTAAAGTAATTAAGCAGGATCTGTGCCTCTTTCTGTTGGAAGGAGTGAAGTACCCCAACTTCAACCAAATTTTATCCGAAACATCGGCGAAATTCCAGCCAACATCTTCCATGTTCCAACCCGAACATCTTCCTCTCCACCCGAAAAGCCTCCCACACCACTTGGGGTCCTTTCCCACCTCTTTCATCCTCTTTCCACCTCCCTCGACGCTTCGCGGCCCGCTTCGCGGCCTCCAAGGCCCAGGTTGTAGGATCGATCCGGGTCGCCCCAGCAGGGCGCGTCGGGGCGCTCCGGCTCCGGCAGACGGTCCAAGACGCGCACCTGGCTGGGCCACCGGCCGTGACCGGTCAGTGGCGTGTCTAAAGACATCTGGGGGGAGGTGATGGGAGGATGAGATGGTGATTGAAAAAGAATGAAGCATCTTTTTGGGACCCTTGAATTTGCTGCCTGAAGACGTCAGTTTTTGCCTGTAAGGATGATAGTCTCCTGGCCAAACGCCTCACAAGAGTTCCTACAGTTTCGCGGATGATGAGACCTGGCCACGGAGGCCGCCCCGCCTTGCGGAAGCCGCGCCGAGCCAAGGCCAAGGCGGTTAGCAAGCCTCAGTGGACGAAACTGGTTGGATTGATGAAAAACGCGAAGACCGACGAACCTGAAAACGGCTGGTGCAGCTGGAGAAAGCTGGCCTTCCTTGCAGGTGTACTGGTGTATAGGTTTTGTGAATGGTGAAGATCTGGAGCAAGTGGAAAACTGGGGTCGTGTCAACAACCTCAAGCTCACTTAAGCCCTTTGCTTTCCTCACACTGCACATTGTGTGGCTTCAAATGACGGAAACTCAAACAACAACAGAACAAGTCATCCTGGAGATGTTCACCATTCTGGAAGACCCGAGTTGGAACCTCGATTCAAAGCACAAAAGCCGCGTTTTTGCGTCCAGCGGTGCCAAGATGCCCACGGGCCCGGCGCCCACCACGGCCACTGAGACATCCTGAGCAAGCATTTCACACGGCACCAACTAAGACCCAAGCTTGGATCATGTAATGCTATTTCCATCACCTATGCCTATAGTGATGTCGGAATCTGGAAAAGGGGGCCCCCACCAAGAGGGCCGTGGGGTCTTAATTAACCGCTTTTCACATCAATCTTCCAGCCTTACATAGAAGTCCTCCTCCTCACTACAAGACCATTTTGTCTTCTTGTGGCCTCAAGCGCCAACAGCCCTCCGGCTGCCCCTATCGTTTGGAAACCCAACCAATGAATGGGATCACAGGCACGCCTACCATCACCTACCCTCCCAGTCATCACTTCTTTTCAACTTGTCCACACACTCAGTGGAAAATATGCGGGATGTCAATGTCAAGGTCATACATTCCAATGCATATTGCATGGAATGTCTGGCTTTGGAACTCCTGCTTTCCACCAAACCCATCCACAATGCCCAAGACTCAAAGTTGCTGTGCTGCGTCTCACCGTCACCGTCGGCTCGCAAGCGCGGAAAGCGCGGCCGCGGCGCTTTCCGCGGCGCGCGCGTGTGAGGCCCGTACGGGGTGGCACGATGGGTGGCCGCATGCGCTGGGACCAAAGCCATTGGAAGCACGATGGACTGAGCAGGTAGATGACTGGAGAGGCGGCACGCACTGTGTTTCTGCTGTGGAATGGTCTGATTTGGATGGATTTGAGCCCAGCTCCTGAGCTTTTCTGGGCAAACTTTGCAGGTGACGGTTTGCAGAAATGTCTTGTTCCGATGGGTCAGCACATTGTTCTTTATCAACACAATTCTCTTTCACTGATACAGCTGAGATGGCCATTCGACGTCACCGAGCCAAAAAGTTCCAGGCAACAGGATACAACGAAGTACTACTTTGTCATGTTTCATGTCTCTCTTGGAAACAATTGCTCCAAATGAAACATGACTACAGTATAAAATGTATAAGTATCTATATTAACTCTATATTTATAGTTATACAATGTATATTAATCATATATAATATGCATCGCTCATATTACACTACTATATATATATATACACTATATACGCTATATATCAGTATGCGTGTGTGTGCGTGTGCCGCATCAACGTTCAACTATCTCATGATACTACTCCTCTTTCGATCAGGTTCACTGATCTGTTGCCGCCACCTACGATTGGTGCCACGGCCGCCAGGAGTGCCGACCAGTAGCTTATCTTAGCTGCGGAGTTCCATACCTGGGACGCGACAGGAGACGATGGAGATTCTCTGGAGCAGCCACAAAAAACATCACAAAGCCATCAAGAACTGTGGCCAAAGCATCTGTGACCAAAGCAGGAGCACTGGAAGAGGAAGTTCTCTAATTTGCAAACGACCAGTAGCCAGTGGCTTTCAGTGAGCATGTGTTGGTAGGGTGTTTGGATGGACTATGGTGGGACTAACTAGATCTTGCTCTCAAGGGCAAATGTGCAGGATGACCTCTGACAAACGACAGACTGGACATGGGACAAAATCAGGTAGAAAAACAAGAAGCACGGCTTAGGCCTCTTGTCACAGCTGGTCTTGGAACTGCACTGTCTTACAGTTGGCTTTTTGGTGGCCCCAACGCATAGCAAAGTAACACCCACAATAAAATATCTTGGAAACAATTGGGACCTCTTCACCACACTCTTTGCACCAGAAAACGATGCATATCCAAGCCACCTCCTTCGTCCCATGCTCTTGGGGACACCCCTTCGGCGATGACGCCGCGTCTGCGTAAGAAGCTGGTCCTTAGTCCATGGACAAGTTGGATTGACAAGAGCGTCGACCTGTCCAAGGAATACTGTATTTGTAGTAGCATGAGGATGTCCCTACTAATAGGAGCTGGGTGCACCATCTGATGCACTTGCAATTGAACTTGGAGAGTGTAGCCTCTACAACGTGTTGATGCGAACTGGCAACAAACATTCCTCTGGGCCTCTTGGTAGGTAGCAGCCACTGTTTCATGGGATCTCTTTAAAGTGTCTTGTGGGCTAACAAGGTTGGAACTTGCCCCAAGTTGCGCAAATACCAAAAGGAAAAACAAATAGTAAAAACACCGCTCAAACGGGCGGCACAAGAACACGAAAACGACGGAACAACGGAACGAAAACGGGCCGCCCGTGGCCGTCTGATCACACTGCTCGTGCAAAAGGTCTCTCAGGTGAAACTACCGATGTGGCGAGCCGAACCCCAGCCAACTCACTCGCCGCAGACCGTAGTAGGCCGGTACTAGTAGCGTGGTGGACAGAAACAATCAGAATGTTGATTCGCGGGTTTTTGCTTTTGCAGCTTGGCTATGTGCAGCTCGGCTAGGCTGTCCCAGAGTTCGACTCACACCCATCTTGGGTTTAGGTAGTCAGTTCACGGCATCTTTTGCCCTATCTTGGCTCAAGGTCTAAATCAGCCACTCTCACTTTTGGCGTTCGTCACCAGCCACTCCATACCTCGAGGCAAGAACCTCTTTTGGGGAGGGATGTGCAAGAGGCAAGCCCCATCAACATGCACCCACATCCTTACACCTTGAATAACTCACATGGAACCAGAACGCTTTGGTTCGGAACTTCCAATCTTCACCACCCCGGACGATCGACTTTTGCACCTCAGAGCCCCACACTTGGCCACGAAGAAACTCTAAGAATGGAAATTGTTTACATAATTAGATGGCTCAACTCCCTGGATATTTGATGATATGATATGATATGTATGGATCCATCTCGGATCAAACCTATGTTTGCTCACAGCTGTAGGGAACGACATATTACAAACCTAATGACTGAAGGCCACGTCAATCCCTCCGGGCCTTCTTGCAAGCCTTCCCCTGTTTTGGCGCTGCATGCTTGGATCTGCCACAAGCGATCTCCGATGGCCTCCTCAGCTCGGCGGTGATCTTCAAAGCACGCACGAAGATACGCACCATGCGCCTGTGCCCCCTGACCAACGACGCACCACAACCTGTTCCCGACCTTTAAAGGCACAAGAACGACCACTTCGCGAACACATAGGACGTTCGAGAACGGAAGAGATTTCAGGAACGTGAAGTACCTTGGAATCAACGTCCTCCAGTTGCACTTCCAGTTGTATAAAAGTCTCTCACACATCCATGATACGCGTCAAAGCAAAATGTGTTGGATTCCAATGATTCCAATGTGCCAGCTAGAACTTCTGCCGGGATTGCATTCATTCCATCCAAGAGTCCAAGTTCAAGGCTGCAACAATCTCATCGGCGGGGACGGCGCTCATCAAGTCTTGCTTGTTGGCGAAGACCATCACAGGAACTTGGACCAACTTCTCCTGACGACTTGGACAGTTCTTCAGCTTGGAGGTTAGAAGGACAAGTGCTCACACACTCAAATTTGAGATGATTTGAGCCTCCTGGATGCAGTTATGAAACCAAATGCAAAACATGCGCGCATGCATGCGCACGCACATGCGAACGCACATGCGCATGTACCAGCGTAGTTTGGTGCATGTACCCGGCGCCTGTGCAAGGAGCTCGGCCAACTCCTTGGCAGATTCCTCCAAACGCCGGCTGTCCGAGCTGTCCACCACGTAGACCAAGGCGTCTGTGTTCTCGAAGTAGTTGGACCAATAGGGACGAATGGCTTCCTGCGGGTCGCCAGCCGGAGGCTTTGGAAGGGACTCCGCCAAGCCAAAGGATCGAAGGTTTGATGGATGTTCAGGGGTCCGATCAACTGATAACCGATTAACCGTCTGGTAACCTGCGGCCAAGAGTGGTCGAAATCATTGATCTGTCTGGGCACCAAGGAAGAAGGCCAATCCGATGGAATCTACCAGTCAGGTTCCAAGGCTTCTCCTGCCCAACCGAAAAGAAAAAACTCCCCCCTGCCTTTCCCCAAACTCGACGGAAGGGGCATGCATGTGTTCACCTTGCGGATGACTATATACTGTATATGTGTGTCTATAATGGATGGAAGGTGTTTCGGTCTTGGCAGCTGTATTGGTCCCGGATCTAAGGAGATTTCCACCCTATGGATGGAAAACAAAGGAGCTTTCATCTGGACCTCGATGTCACCCTGTCTGGACTACCCTCGGGTTACTCGCGGATCTCAAAAGAGGTGACTCCTGACAGGTGACTGCTGGCATACCAACAGGCTGTTTTCAATTGGCAGACCGCCCACCAAAAATATACACACACACTATCACACACTTCACCTCCTGAAATAATAATGGAAGTGGAAAATGGCCCCTTGGATGACCAGTTTTCTCTGCATACAGATGGTCTTCCACTTCCATGTTAGTGACTAAGACGCAAGTGTGTATCATATCTGTTGAGACCCTACAGGCTTAAAACACACACCGCTTGGCCCATCAGTCACAGGATTTCACGCGCACCTCGAGGCCGAGCACCCGAACGACCCACCACCCAGACGTCCTGGCCACCGATGTCCCAAACGTTCCTGGGATCAGCAAGTTCATCGTGGAAACATCCCACAAAACAACTACGAGAAAGGCAGGGAACTCCAGGTTCTGCTTAAAGTGACCTCGCACCCCTTCTCTTCTGCTTATAAACTTATAGACCATTCTTGGATGCACAAGGTGCTGGGATGGGTATCACACAAAAAGATTGATGTGTCGCTAAGGTTAAGCTTCAACTTGAAGCCATCTTGCATGATGCTCTTGATATTGAAGCCCTGAGTGGGCATGATGTGCGAGATGTCTCCCTCGGTCATCTTTTGGAGGATCGTCGTCTTGCCTGCATTGTCCAAGCCAAGCATTAGGATACGGGCCTCCTTCTCGTCCTTCTTCATCTTCTTCAAAATGCTGAGAAGTCCCATGGTCACTCGAAAAGCTGCGCTTGCAGGCTGCCTTTTCGCGAGCACGAGTCGTTCTAGGAGGTCGTTGAGCCAAAATTTGCTGCACCATGCATCACTTCCAATTCCGGCGCCAAACAGTTCCAAACGTCTAGACATGATCTGCACCCTCACCGCCCTTGCAAGAAAATTTACCTGGAAGGCTGGACACTGAAAAAACCACTCAACAGATTCCCATGAATGTTGCGTATCTCCTGGTTGACACGGCTTCTCGGCCCGTCCTTAGAGGCAGCTCTGGGTCCTTCGGTCCCTCCGCCTCACTCCGCCGTTTGGACGAGGCGCGGTCGGATGCCGGGCCACGCAGCGGATGCGACACCGGTGACACCGGTGAAAGCAGAGGAACAAAGGCCTCGAACGACCCGAGGGCACTGAGAAAGCAAAAACGGAGAACTGAAAGTCGACCCTCCAAGAATCTGCAAAACAAACACTCACATATTGGAACCTGTCATCGTCCAGCCAGGTGTAGTCGCCAGGGTGTAGTCAAGATGATATCACCCCAGTTAGGTCAGTCTTAGTGGCTCATGTAATTTGCCACTTAGTGATCATCAAACCTGTCAGCTGGTTTCATCTCAATACCTGTGCGGCAAGGCATCTTTAGAGGAAAACCACGTCGTTCACTTCTCCTATCTAGACAAGCCATCTTCTTGGACATCAACATTGAGACTTCCCTCAATATTTAGAGACTCAGGACCCTCGGGACGTCAACATCGTTCAGCAGCCCCAAACAAACTCAGTCAATCTACAGTCGTTCAGCCCACCCCAAGCAGTCAGCAGCATCTCCTTTTGCCAGTTGGTGCCCTGTGCAGTTCGACGAAAACGGCTCAACCTGGCTACCTACGCCTCGCAGGCAGCGCTAGAGCTGCCGGCGCCGCGTTTTGCCGCGTTCACGCGTTCTCCCGGCCGATCAAACGCCACAAGGGACCGCGGCTGGAGAGCCACCTCACGTTGGTGCCATCAGGGACCAAACGTCCTTGGGCCTTGTAGTCATGGTACTCCTCACCCCAGCGGACCCCGACCCAACGGACCCAACGCCCGCGTCCGTCCGATTCCCTGCTCGGATCGAAGGATCCTGCATTCCAAATTAAGGGCCATCCCATTAGAATTATGAGATCAAATGATAGATGATTGAATCGTGATGATCCATCTATTTGATTATTTGATGGTATCATCTATAGTCCATTGAATCGTGATCAAATGATACCATTCAATGGATTTAATATGATTTAATGGCAGGAACGAAGCTCTGTACCCTTCATGCATGGGACATCATGGGACAATATTATAATACATCTGCCATCATCTGCCTACCGATGAGCCCAGATTTGGTAGCGCAAGCGACATGATGAGCCCACCATGATAGACTGATGTCAGTCTCACTTTGCGACTCTTGCTGTGTGGAGGATGGTCGAGTCCAGGTACTATCAGTCACAGCCCATGAGCTGGGCACGCAAAACAAAAACGTCTAAACGTCTGGCAGCGTTTCGGAGAAAAAGAAAACCGTCTCGCTGGGGTAAGGAACATGTTCCCGAGGAACTGCTGTATGATCAGCACAAGAGTGTTTATGTCGGGGTCATCTTGGCAACACCTGATATCATGCACATTGCACATTATATAACACAGCTATATGCACAAATCGAACATGCAAGAAGTGCTTCTTTCCTTTACCTGCCGACTTCAAAAACAATTGTCTCAAATTGTTCTTCGATGGTGGGCCCTTCATGACACTAGGAACAAAACTCATCAAACTCGCCTACTACACCTATCACTATGACCTATGGCTACCTATGACTATGCCCTGCATTCCAAATCCAGTCCACCGGGTCCTTCTTGGTATATTTGGTGAAGCCGAACTTGTTGGACACGTGTACCTTCTGCCGACCTGCGAACTTGGCACTCGCACGCCTGAGCGCCTCCACAGCAAATTGGATCTTCTCTTCTTTGGTGCGCAAGGAGATGAGCACCTACAAGACATCTCTGGAGACACAAGGAAGGACATGAACATGCATTGGTGGTGCATACTCCTAGAGTCATCAACACTCGTCCCTTCACGTGGTCTAGCAAGTATTCTACTAAGTATTCTCCGGTCGATGGAGATGTTAGAGATGCAACTCGAAGGTGGTCACTCCAAAATGACCAGGCTGGAGATGTTTGGCACGCGGTTTGAGCCTCGCTTCTCTGGGTTTGTCTCTCCCTCAAGCGCCGCTCAGGATGCCCAGCTCAGTCGCTTAGCCACTTAGCCGTATACCGACTAGGTTGACTAGGTCCTCATGCAAGCATGTTACTTCATGAATCAGTACCAAAGTACTTTGCCGGAGTTTGTCGTTTTTTCATCCGCAGCCCCCCTGATTCAATCTGTATCATGCAAGCTTGAACACACAGCCCACCACAGCCCCTAACATGAACCCAACTAAAACATTAAAAAAGTATGGCTATATGATGCTTTGAATTGCATGGGGCTTTGCCAAGCGTCACCCAAAAAATGTTCCGATGAATTTTTGTTGCGTGGCGCATGTGGATGGCATGTGATGTGGCACTTCACCCACTACTTTCTGGTTTGAATCCAAGCTTCGCTTGAAACATTCGCCAAGTCCCTGCTATCAGATTCTATTCCCTTCCTGGGGACGCAGCTAAGCCAAACCTCTTCCAACAATCCCCTACGCAGCGGCCCTACAGTAGCGGCCGGGTGAAAAAATGTCTTGTGAGTGAGGTGTTCGCTGTCATGGTGAGGTGTTCGCAACCAGCTAATTACTTCAGGTGCGCTCAAACCTCGGTTCTATAACACTGATATATAGGACCCGAATCCGGCACATGGCCACCTCCTCTCCCATCCTGCGCTCCTACTCTCCAGTGGCCTGTCCGATGTCCACGCGCGCGGCGGTGCCGTAGGGCTTCCCGAAGGCGCCGCGCATGCCGCTGGAGAGGCGATCCGCGCCCGCGCAGGACAAGGTCTTGTTGATGCGGAGCACGTTGAAGGGATGAGGACGGATGCGGATGTGGAAGAAATCCTCCCATCCGCGCGAGTCTCGTCCGCGATCCGCGCGCTGTGATGTGTTTGGAGTTCGGCCCAAATTGGGCCTGGGGAACAGCCAGCCAGTGGATGATGGTGACCTTTTGGTTAGCACCAGCACTGTTGATAAGACCTCAAGACCTCCAAATATAGTACCTTGATGCTCGCCACCTGAGAAGCTGCAAAACGAAAGCCAGCGCTTCCCTTTCTCGACAAGTGTGCGTCGAAGCAATCAAATGAGCTCGCGCAGCCGCTTGCGGCCGCGTGTCAAATCTGCTTCATGTCTTGTTCTGCCGACACATAGGTAACCCTTTTGTTCAAAGACACAGTTTTTCAAGCTAAATTCAAGGTGGCCTGAGACCAGGCGTTGTGGTTGTGATGACTCGTGGTGGCTTACGGCGGCTTCCATTTTGGGACCACTATGCAGTCCTATAGAGACCCAGGGTAGCTATAGTGCAGCTACCAGGTATAGTACTTCAAGTTCCCTTTCCGTCAACCGCTCGATAACCTCTACACACGCACAGCAATCCACAGCTTTGAAGTCTCATTCGTGCTTTGAACTTGTATAGGTGTGTAAGAGGTATAGCAACATAGTATTTATACGGACCCAGGGTAGCTACAATTCTGTTCCCAGGTGTGGTTTTCAAGCTAAATTCAAGGTGGCCTGAGACCAGGGTTTGCTGCCCCAAAACACTCTGTTCAGGCCACCTTCAAAATGACGGTCTGCGAAGCGAGAGCAGAGGATGCATGTTGTCCTTCTGCTGCTTGAATGTGACATATACCCTTCAATAGGAACTACACCTTTATTTACCAGGCGGCCTGAACAGAGTGTTTTAGGGCAGCAAGCCCTCGTCTCAGGCCACCTTGAATGTAGCTTGAAAACCACAGCTTTG